AGATAAAAACCATACTCGCAAGAGTCAGTGGCTTCCACAAGGAGAATTGCCGCCACACGAACCGAAACCAGGGTTCCACGAGAAAAAGATTCTTCTCTGCTGTTGGTGGGATTCAGAAGGAATGTAGTACTATGAGCTCCTGCCAACCGGTACCACCGTGACTGCCGTCGTCGACGCTGCTCAACTTCAGAATTTGGCTGGCGTCATTCGAAAAGAGCGTCCCAAATGCGACAAAGTTCCCCTTCTGCATGACAACGCTCGTCCACTTGTTGCGAAGATGACTCGCCAGACGATTTCGGAACTGGGCTGGGAAGTTTTACCCTGTCCAGCGTATTCTCCGGACTTGGCCCCTTCCGACTATCACTTGTTCCGGGCCCTCAAGAATCACCTGCGGAACAAGGCCTTCGGCGATCGAGCACAGCTCGAAAATGATGTCGGCCCTTTCTTCGCTTCGCAATCGCCTGAGTTCTGGGCAAAGGGCATCGTTGGGAACATGTCATATACAACAATGGTCATTACATTGTAGACTGAAATTGCATTTCAATAAAGTTATAAAATTTTGGAAAATTTGCACAGTGTTGCAAGACTTTCTTTCCAACCCAATATTTGACGTTTAACATTTGAGCTCAGTGCGTCAACGGTCACGTTCTTGCCAAGTTTCAGCTTTCCTTGTGTCTCCGTTTGATTGAAGCAAAGAGAACTATTTGAAAATATGTTCCCCAAGAGGTGTGCGCCTATGGCATTTATCACCAAAGTAGAATTTCTCCTGAATTTCCCCTGAAGCTGAATACTCCCTCAGCTCAGTAATATAATGTCACTTATACTTATGCCAAGTTTCACATTTCCATTTCTGTCTTATTCGCCACGACAATTTTTTCTTTCAAAACATCGCCCCTCCAAAAAATTCCTTCATGTGGATGTCAATACTTAACATTTTTCTTAACTCCTTGTCTCAGTAGTCATATTCATGCAAAGTTCCAGCTTTCCATGTTCATCAGATTAACTGATGCAAAAAGTTATTTAAAAACATCTCCATCTGAAATTTGTGCCCCCAGGACATTTACTTCCAAAGTCAGATTTTTCTGCACGCAGTATCCCAATGCAGCTATGTACCAATTTTCCTTTTTCCATGCCAACTTAATATCCCAAGATAAAAAAAGACTTGAAAACGTTGGCCCCTAAAAATATGCATATGCAAAATATGCATGAATCTAAAATTTTCCAATTTTCCTGAACTTATCGTCTCGATAGGCACGTCCATACATGGTTTGACATACTGTGAACGTGTTAATGACTATCTGAAACGGTAGAAGAGACATCCCAATATCTACATCATGAAATTATCAAAAATAATTATAATGCTGTTTATTAAACCTCGTAACATGCATTATATCCAAGCGCAACGTGTATACTTCAGTTACTCGATGCGATATCATTAATTAAATTCCATATTTATGCCAAACCATAGCTCTCTTTGATTTTGGTCTTTGATCATTGGCGGAAAGTTATTTTCATAAAAAAAGAAATTGTTCACACTTTCAAGGATAAAAATCTCTTTGTTGAGATGCATATCCTAGAAGAAACGTTTCATTTCTAATTTCATATATTTCCAGATGGAAAATTTGGAGAAAAAAAGTCAGGAGCATATTCAGCAACTATCCCTCGCCGATGCAACGAAAGAAAAGGCTGATAATTGTGATGAAATCGAGGCAAGCCCTGAAGACCGCATTAGAAAACTTGAGGATCAGATCCTTTTACAGCGACAGAAGAGTCTGGAGGAATTTGAGCATGTGCAGCACAAGTATGATGCAGACCTCAGCAACCTGAAAAGCCAGGTCATGCAATGCCAAGTGCATGTCTCTTTAGTGTCATTCGTGTCTTAGTATCTGTCTTCTTTTAATGATCAGTCGCATGCCGAATTGTAATTGCAGTTCGACATGAATGTGAAACCTGGCTACATGGAAGTTGAACCATCACATACAAAGAAAGAGTTGCACGAAGATGAAGGCATACGACCCAAACCACAAAACCTTTTCTCGGAACTCAAAGCGAAGTTTGCTGAGGTACGAACTTGTTATCTATATGCAAAATTCGAAGGAAAAGGTCTCCAATTAAAATCTAATTTATCTTACAATTAATAAACTGCAGGTTTGAGAAATTTATAATCACATCAACACATTATCGTATTTGCGATGTACTAGTTCGGTGGTGTTATGGTAGTGGACAGGACTGAGAGGCTGGAGGACTGGGTTCAAGTCCTGATCGTACCCTGGTTTTCTTTTTCCGTCCAGTCTCGGTATCGCCCTTTTCTTTGGTCCTCATGATATACGAGGGGTGTTCGAAAAGTAATAGGAATTTTGAATTTTTTCCCAATCAACATATTCATCATTATTTACACTTAACTTTTCAATACAATCACCCTGGAGTGCAATACACTTTTTCCAACGAGAGACTAACTTCCTAAGGCCATCATTAAAGAATTCCTTTGGTGTGCTTTTAGTCCAACGTTCTACCGCATCCTTGACCTCTTGTAGAGAAGAAAAACGCTTGCCCCGAAGTGGTTTCTTCAGTTCCGGGAATNTTCTACCGCATCCTTGACCTCTTGTAGAGAAGAAAAACGCTTGCCCCGAAGTGGTTTCTTCAGTTCCGGGAATAGGTGGTAATCACTTGGAGCCAAATCAGGAGAGTAGGGTGGGTGAGGCAGCAACTCCCATCGCAGATCGGCTATAGCATCAATAGTTCGTCTTGCAGTATGGGGCCTGGCATTGTCTTGCTGCAGTAATGGTCGTGCGTGGAGCTTTCCTGGGCGTTTTTTGATCAGTTGGGTGCGCAAGGGGCCCTTCAGCAAACCAGAATAGTATTCGGCGTTTATCGTTTGACCTCTCTGAAGATAGTCTATGAGGATAATGCCTTGACAATCCCAAAAAACGGTCATCATGACCTTGCCAACGGACGGATTTGATCGAGCCTTTATTGGAGGGCCTTCATCAGGGCGCCGCCACTCCATCGATTGGGATTTGGTCTCCGGATTAAAGTATGGCACCCAGGTCTCATCTACAGTAATAATCCGAAGCCAAAAGTTCTCACCGTACCTCTTCGCCAAGTCCACAAGCTGACCACATGTCACTGTACGGTTGAGCTTCTGGTCTGGCCCCAACAGCCGAGGTACCCATCGCGCTGAAACTTTGCTCATGCCCAAATGGTTGTGCAGAATCGAGTGAACAGAGTCGAAACTGATGCATAGGGCCCTGGCAATCTCTCGCACGGTCACTCGCCTGTCCTCCATCACAAGCTCTTCCACGGCTGCCACATTTTCTTCATTAACTGAAGTGGAGGGCCTTCCAGTCCGATGGTCATCATCAAGGCTTTGCCGACCACTCTTGAAGCGGTTAATCCAAAAATAAACTGTGCTTTTTGAGTCAGCAGCATCTCCGAAAACACACTGCAAGCGCTTGACAATATCAACAGTTTTGACTCCTTCCTTCCACAAAAAGAACATTATTGACCTTTGATTTTTCACCGACAAAAATAAACTGTGCTTTTTGAGTCAGCAGCATCTCCGAAAACACACTGCAAGCGCTTGACAATATCAACAGTTTTGACTCCTTCCTTCCACAAAAAGAACATTATTGACCTTTGATTTTTCACCGTGTCTTCCATAATAGAAAAATAGCAAGGGACAGCACAGCCTATAACTCGAGAATGGACTGAGTGTATTGAATGGCATTGACAGGTCCTAATGCTTACATGTTGGCCTACGTATGGTCTGACTCTTGTTACCTTAGGTCTAATCGTTCTTGTTTAATAAATAAATTCCTATTACTTTTCGAACACCCCTCGTACATACATAATGATAGGCAGTGTTTGCACTACAGAAATATCTCCAAATAAAGCCAAAGTAACATGATTTCAACTTGGAAGCAAGCCAGGTAGGGTTGTGCCATAGGATGTACAATTTCATTGATTAAACTGAAAGTTTAAGTATGAAGTGACTAGGTTGCTCACCTCTATCAACATCACCCTGCCTCCTACTTCTTTCCTTCATGAGACTTTTCTTGGGGAATACAAGTCTTAAACCTGAAAGAAGTTCATGATGTAGGATATTTTTATATGTTTTACTTAAGTTATGCATCAGTTATAAAGTACCCAAATTCTAGGAGTCTGAGATAGAAGCAATGTCTATGCCAGTGGTTCTCAAACTTTACTTCACTCCCATTGAACCTTCATGCATCCAGGGGGTTGGGACCCCCAGTTTGAGAAACCCTGGTTTATGTTAATGCATACAAGTCCAAGTTTTAGTAAATGTACTGGCTCCTTTGTGTGACCAACAAATTTTATTTTTTTTTCAGCCTCATGCTCATGACTCTGTATAACATCAGCATCAACAGTGAGGGTCACAAGCTAGTTAGCACTTATCCCCATGTCATAGAAGGGCTTCTGAGCACAGCTGAGAACTGTCAGAATAATGAGAGCATTCTCATCATCATTCAGATTCTGGAAGCCCTAGCAGATGTCCAAGCAAATCCTTCTTTTATCAAGTACCTTGTTGAAGTGGTATGTTCTTGAATTCTCTACTCAAGGAACTGCAGCAATGCCATCATAGCATTTTAAATAACTTAATAAATTAATAACTTAATAAATAAATAACTTTTATGAAACTAAGCAATCCATTTGCACCATTATCAAGTTCCAAAATGAATGCTTATAGGTTCCAATAACAAGACTGCAAGAAATAGCCAGAGGGAAGCCACTTGACCTGATGCAAAGTATTAGTGACTTGGCCATTCACCTGGAAAAGCATGCTGCTAAACATGGTAGTCCAAACTTATTGTGATATCCTTTGTCAACAGAAAAGAACAAAACTTTTACTTTTTACCCTGTACATATGGTTATGGCAGTGAGTGAGGAATTTTCTTCTAGCCAGAAATCAAACAATATGGACTCTATGAGCACCTCTCATTAAAAGACAAATCAGAATGAGAATGAATGAAAATGTGAAGAATAAACTTACAATCATCAAACATTAGGTATGTTAGGCTCTCATCTGCTATCAGACAAAAAGCCTTGAGTTGGTGGTATGAGCTCATACTTGTCATTGGTTCCTGCATCTTCAATCAGGTGTCGAATGATGGCTCTAGAAGTGAGCTTCTTGGAGAGAACCAAGTATCGACTGTCATCCTTCCCATGACTGTGACTCTTCAAGTTGAACTTATGTGAGATCCTACCACACATAAGACCAAAATATGCATAAGCACAAAGAAACAAGCCACATTTGGCCCTTCCTTCATGTTAAAAAATTATTGCCTAAATGGCATAATGCTCTTTGAATTTTTGGTCAGAGGGACCAATGCTGTGAATATGACTCACGTGTGAATCTCCTTCCGTTCATCTCTTGTGAACTCTGGTGTGAAGGCAAGATCATTCAATGTAGAGCTTGTTGCATATTCCTTGATGATTTCCTCAATTGTTTTACAGAACTCTTTGCTGACTCCTGTAGACTGAGCACTTCCCAATCCTTGTCGATCACAAACCCTGGCCATCCTGAGAAAATTATTCTGAATAAACATATTGACATAACTACTGATAAATCCTTCTTTTCCAGACAATGGAAGAAGTCTCACTGTAGAGGTTCTGTAATCCCACTGCCTTCTTTGCCAAGGCCACCACCTTGCCATCCCATCATTTTCAAGAGCCTGTTTCCAATATTATCTTCTCCTATGGTTTGTTCCTGAACATCAGTTTCAAATTCTACTTGCCCTTTAGACACTTCCTTATCTGAAGTATTGAAACTCTTCACCTGAAAGATAACAAAAAGAGGCTTTTATATTTTTGTTTGTGCCAAGAGGATGATAAAGGATTGCATGAAGAAATATAATTTAGGGCTGCTAATTGATGAAAAAAAAAGTTCTAACCCAGTGAAATTATTACTCAGGAAAGTTCCCTCTCTGAGACTGCTGAAGGAAAAGAAATCTCTGAACTCTCTAAAATATCAGACTGCATTGTGGATACTGTTAGTTCCTCAAACTCCATACAAATGATTAACATTTTTAATTATCCCATTAATTATTATCAAAGTTGATCAATCAATCAAATTGAATTGGCAGCCCTAAATCATTAAACCTACTCTGACAGTGAAACATTTGGCCTGGAGGCTACAGATTGCAGTTTTGCAAGCCTCAGTCTTTGCTGCTGCCTCTGATGGACCCCAACCACTTGCCACTTGCACATCATTCAGCCTTATATCACATCTGAAAAGTCAAGCAAATACTTCACTGTTTTGCTATACTCAGCTGAAAAGAAGACATATAACCCTTTAACAATGGAACTATCGGAGCAGTCAATTGACCCCTGTATTAAAAGTAGCATCAAATTATTCTGGAAAATTTTATTTGCTTTTTCCAGATGTTATTTGCCATGTTAAAATGTTCAAAATGCCGATATTAGATTAAAAACTGCAGAGGCCAAACAAGCAGAGTAATGGGCATTAAAAATCAACAAGCATTCAAAATGACTGCCCCCCATGGTTCTAGAGTTAAGGATTACAACTGTACATGTACACTTTCAAACTTCACACTATAATTTCTCTGTAGCTTGTTGTATTCAAATGGTTTTTGGCCCTTGACCACATAACCTTTGTCCATGCACCCATCTATCATCTCAGATTATGAGTATCCTTTTCCAGAGAGATGTAATGAACCCCCCCCCCCTGCTTTTTGTACCAGGTGTTGCACATAGATAGCCCTGCCCTCCATAGCCTAATCTATCAGAGCTAGGAAAAAAACTCTTATAATGAGAAAGAGCATTCATTTTTTAATCTAAACATGAACTTCTCATAATTTGTATGCACCCTGGCTCTGACACTGAGAGCTTTAATATGAGCAGGGTAAGAAGAAAATAGGTGTTTAAAGACTTCAGTGTCATATTCCATGTCCTTCAACACCCTAATGATGTTGCTTTGCAAGACTTCCTGTGAGAATCCATGCTGCTTGCTTGCCCTCCATGTGCATGAACCTCAACTCTGTCATTCAGGATAACACCAATGTTTTCAGCCACATTCAGATCAGGAGAGTTTCCTGACCATTTTGCATAAATAAAAAAAATCAGTCCCTGAGTCTTACAGCAATTGCCGTGTGATCAAAGCTTTGAATAATAGGGCTTCATCAGATGGAAGCTGAACATTTAATCTTTTTCAAAACCCACGAATGGGAACATATTCAGCTCTGGCATCATGAGCTTGAAACATAATTGCATGGATGCAATCAAAGAATTTAAGTTCTTCACCATCAGAAAAAAAAAAACAAAATGGGATGGAATAGATTCAAAATTGAACAAGGATTCCAAATATATGAAAAAATTTTTTCCTAGCTCCTATAGTTTAGGCTATAGAGGGTAGTGGCTATTTATGTGCAACACCCAGTATTAACAAAACTCAGTTCAACAGGTTAATCCATGAATCCTATACAGATTGAGGGGGTTTTCATTCATAGAATAATCACATCAATTCAAACCAACATGCCAACAATGAACATAATAGTTTACAGAATCATAAGGAGGACCTTACATTGAAATCACCACTACTGAGAAGCTGCCTGGGTACTGCTGATCTAATGATCAGCTCCAAATAACAAAAAAAAATGAATACCCATGGACGAGAGTTTCTCATACTGAGAGGCTTTCAGGGACCTTCGATAAGGGGACACAGCAATATATTAAATGCCACACTGGATATATTTGAAAAAATGATGAACCTAACCTAACATTTGAACCTTTCATCAAAATTATCAAGCAGCAGGATGATCTTTCCCAACAATAATTTTTATATTTTTTTTACCCCATGTGAAGTTTTCACAAAACAAGAGGTACAAGCAAATAGGTTGGAGCATGATAATTAGAGAAATTTCACACTTCTGGACATCAATGTAGGTGATGAAATTCTGTTAGCTATTTGAAATTCCATGTTTCTTGACTTTGACCAACCAAAGAGGCCAGACAAGAGGAATGTTTATCTTGTTTCAAAAAAAAAAAAAAAAAAAAAAGAATGGCATTTTCTTCCAACGGGAATAAAATTTCTAGTGAAGCAGTATAAGCAAATTGGAAGAATCTTCAGGTAACAGATTTCACAGGTATCTTATAACATCCCAGTCAATGTTAAGAAGAGTTTCAGAGATAGCATCTTTGGAAGGAATCATGATTATGGGATCATACTGTTTCTTTTTCTGTGCATTATTGGAAGTCCCCAACTTTCCTTTTGCCATTCTTCCCACAATCCTATCAGTAGGACAGTAGGATATGCAAGACTCAGCAAGTTCTCATCACTTATTTTGAGAAAACAATCAGTGCTCTTAAAACTCTTCAGTAAAGCAAAAAAGGGGGGTGATCTAACTAAGCCCAAAACCTGTCTTTTCTAGGACAAATGATGAAAGACCAAAATTTAAATTATAATTTTCCCCCCAAAATCAGGGATTTCCATGAAGAGTAGCACATATCATATTTTCATCATGTATACCTATGGCTGGTTCCATTAGTTTAGCTGGTTCCAAAATTAGGGGAAATTCATGAGCAAAGTAGTAGAGATATATTCAACAGCCTCTAGTAAACCCTTTGCAGTTCTTTTTTTTTACAGGCATGTCCACCAGGTCTAATTATTTTTCATGCATATATAGTAAAATTTGCACCTTTTATTATAATGAATTTTCATTAATACCACTTACATTCTCATCTTCCTAATCACTCTCATCGGTGCTCAAATTGTCTTCACTTTCCGATAAAAACTCCTCATATCATCATGACAAAGGGACATGTTTTGAAATGTTCACTAAATTTCTAGATTATTATAGGCTTACATTGATTGGGAAAAGTGAAGAAACATTAGTAAAGGTTTCCCTCAACAGATGATAGACATAACCACAATGTCCCGACCAATGGAACAGAGGACTCAAAGTGAAAAAACTTTGGCCCACCTGGTGGGACATAAGACTGGAATGAGAGTTTTATAATGGCCCACTCAATGAGACACAGGACCGCAAAGGGTTAATGGTACCTTTTAGAACTAGCCAAAAGAGACACTTGTTCTTTGTTTCTAGTTTTTTGTTTTGTTTTTATTTGTTCCTCTCATCCAAAGGGAAGAAATGCCATTAAGAAAAAAATTATGCTAAGGGGAACAACTCTAACCTTCAGGGGTCAAATGGAAACCTTAAAGAATCATCCAGTAAGAAATGCACTGGTTTTCTGCAAAGCAAAGGTGGACAAGCTGAAACTTTTCATTCTTAATGTGTTACAACAAATAAATGATGCTGTATCATGAAGTAATTTTTCTCTGCAGACTTGAATATGAAAATTTAAATCTATATTCTCATTCAAATTTAGTGACAATATTTGGTAATATTGACCGGAACAATATTACTTCCATTTTCGCTTTCTGGCAACTGCCTCAATCCAATAGAACCATGATAGGATTATTACAAGTCCATAGGCAAACCAGAAGTTATATGGAAATTTTTTATTTATTAAAGAAGCTGTAAAGATGTTTAGAATCATTTAGTTATTTATCCTTCTTACATCAATAACATGTAGCTTCTAGCAACAATATTAAAAATTTGTAATCAGCTTCACTCACCCACTCAGGAATCATTAACCCTTTCCCTGGCATTGGAATAATATAATGTTGACAGCCTTGAGGTGTTCGGGCCTGCCAGGGGAAAGGTTAAAGGGAAAAAAGCATTTACCTTTCTCAAAATGTGTGTAGTTGAAGCTAATGCTAAAAGAAAAACCAGGAGATGATATCTGACATTAATGAATCATTACTATTATAATGCTTTCTCATCATTCACCCAAGTGGTACTCTTTCCAGCTGACAGTGTGATTGTACATACTATTTACTATTAAATTAACTCCTGTGTTCTTGAAAATCTAACTTTTTTTATGTTTAGTTTTTCAAAATTATACTTTCATGCACACTTCACAAAATTGCACTGTATTTTGTGGTTGATTATGCTGCCATTTCATAGCATTCTAAGATTTTCCCAGAAAGAAGCTATAGGTTACATTTTGGATTGAGTTTTTCATGCATGGATCTGCAGGTATCTCACTGTCTTATACTGTTATGAATCAAACCAGGATCATGAAGATGCCTCAACATAATTGAGTTAGGTCCATTTTAACCCAAAATTACCAAAGGAGCATACAGGCAAATAATATCAGTGTTTGGATTATGCTCATACTAATTGTTTATATTTTTCTAACAAGTTAATAAGTCAGCTTTTCAAACCTGGTCATCTTCTCATCTTCTCGATTGAAGAGAAAGCACAAGTCTGCCTTGGAGAATGCAGCTGAACTTGTAAGCATTGAGATAGCATTCTGTTCACAGTATTGATGGTCCATTAGAATAAAGTCAACCAAGGGATCTGAAGACTTCCAATAATCATCTGGAACCCTGAGCTTCAGATTTCTTGTTTTGACATCATGTGCAGAATGGTCTCTGTGAATAGAACCCTCAAGAGCAGTTCTATTACCTGAGAGAGAAATTTGTGGCTCTGAGTTCATTGAGGTTTCTGATGTGAAATAACTTTTCATCACAGGTTTCCCACTTGTAGATGATAGGTACTTGTCTGTGCTATAAGCAGGGGCAACGTCAGCACTCTTCACATTTCTTATGTCAAGTGAGCTATCACTTCTAGAGGATTTCACAGGTGGGGCACCATGCATGGGTGGCTTCCTTTGACCTAGAAAATGAAGATAATTTTGTCAAAATTGTCTTCAATGACAACTTCAAAAAACCTATTAAATATAAGAAATTAGAGAGGAAACAGGAGTACCATACAAGTACCTCTTGAATGATGCACATTGAGTTTGCCTACCTTTGGCTTTACTGCTAGCAGCAGCAGATGCTTCAACAAAGGTCCTTTGGAGCTTATTTCTCTTTTTCTCTCTGAAATCCTCAATTAAACCTCTAGAGAGTTCACCCACGAGAGCCATGGTCTCTTCTGGGTAGCTGGAAATAAATAGCATAAACATGATATGACAAATCCAACTCACCCAAATGGGGCTTAATGTTGTGAGATTTTAGGCAAATGTAATCCAGTCTGAGAAATCCCTTGAATTCACAACTTCTTCAATTTAGGTCAGACTTTGTAATCACCTTCTCCCTGAATATTTGAATATTCCACCCAAAAAGCACATGACACTTTTATTGGTGACATCTTGCAGAATCCATTTGTTTAAGTTTGTCCATATCAGTGCTCAAGGAAAAGGTGGAAGGTTTCTGTGAGCTACATGGCAATTAAATGTACACAATGGGTTGTGAAAAGTACAATGAAAGAGACTGATACCTCACTGTAATGGAGACAGCCCTTGGCCCTGCATGATCAGCTTGGATTCAACTCCACCCAGGTTTTCCAATCTTTTCAGGTTATCATGACAATTACAATAGAAGTATGTGGTTCATATAAAGAGTATACAGCTCTCCCAACTAAAAAAGGATCTCCCACAGCATTTTGGAGAGCAATTAATCAGGAACACATTTCCCACTCCTGCATGCCCCAGATCCCCCATTAAAGGCCCAAATGCACAAACCATGTTTAGGTGATATAATGGAGCCTTTAGAAAGAGCTAAAGAGCTCTTTTCCCATATAGGATTCCATATTTTCTTAATGGACTGTCAACTAATAGAGGTTTCTACATTCAGGCCTAAATTTCTTCATCTTCTGAATACCTTCACTTATCTCTACAATCCATTCTCCTCTCCAGGGAACTTTCTTTTTATACTCTATGATGTGTCTCAGTCCTGTGTTTTTATTCATACAAGGGGATTGTAGCACTTGGCTATATCTTTTCTATTTAAGAAACTTTTCAAATTTTAGATAAGTGTATGGTTGACAGTCATATCAAGAAAAAATTTTTTTATTCACAAGTCTGAGTCTTGAACAGACCATTTTAGGTTATCTCATAGGATGTTATAGATAGCCACCTCTGCAAGACCCATTTGCTTCCTTAGTGGCCTTCAAACAATGTAAGAGATCAACTGTGTGAATCCAGGTCACCCAATGAATACATTTGAATTCTGCAATATGGACCTTTGGATGGAATTTCCATGAACATAGGAGTGCAGAAGGCAGGAGAATTTTGAAAATCATATTTATTCTCTGGAAATAAATACATGAGCATCAAATTGAAACCTGCCGTTGCTTTATTTATTTCTAGTACACTGCCAATTGGTGACTGATGCAGAGACTACATCACACCATTAGATAATCAACATCTTCTCATAACCTGTTCTGAAACTAACCACAACCTGCCATCACTTTTTTCCAGCCAAAGCAAATTGATACAAAATTTGCTTTAAAGAGCAGTTGCTCATGTCTGACAATTGGTGAAGCTTTACAAAAAGCATTGCTCATGTCTGTGAAAGGAAAGTCTCAAGATTTAGTGTTGGCCTTGTCAGATTTCACTAAGAAGCAAGTTACTCTTCCTTAAAAATGATTACTTCCATGACTAACTGTGGGGATTCAAAGCAAACAACCCAAAGGATACTCCTCCCCATCATCCAGGTTAATTATTAATCTCAATGATTGACAATAGTAATAAAAGAACTGACTTGATATGCACACTACAAAAAAATATGACAAGAAAATATCATATATTGACTTTAGCACCAAATATCTTACATTCTTTAGGATGACATTGTGCTTCTCAATGTTAGATGTTTCTCCATTACATTTAAAAACAAATTTCTTTAGCTTCCTCTAATTTCACTATCAAGGAGTGAAATCAAGAAATGACTGAAAAAAGAAAGAAGGTATCCAAAACCTATTCCAATCACATTCAATGTTCACATTGAAGGTGATTAATTTCATGAAAATTCTTGAGCCCTCATCATTCAGTTATTATAAAAAGGACTTCAAGTGGTAAGGAGGAATATGCTCACCTGCACCCAAGAATTTCCATATTGACAAAGCAATTTGCCAAACAAACAAGGCGATCTTCAGGAAACTTGTCTTTGTGCATCTCCATGAATGCTTTTCGCAGTTCCCAGTGATCGTCTGGCTCATAAACTGACTTGTATTTCTCGATGTCCCATCCCTGATCAAACTCAGGATTCTCATCGTTTTTGAGTCTGAGGTTCTTCATAGGCTCAGTTGTCATGCTATGGGGAAAAAAAGAAACAAACAAAACAAAACAGAAAACTGTTAAATTATGTCTAAATTATGCATTCTCAGCTTTTTGCCATTGATTTTGAAAGCCCAAAGGGTGAAAAATGCATATTATCATAAGAATCAACTGCCAAGTACTGCCAAAATATAAAAAGTCAGACTCATTCTGACAGATGAAGATGACCATCCACAATAGGAATCATAACAAAGGATGCAACCAAGCTCTAGTCTGACCACTTGTAGGCATATTAGAGTTCTCCTGGTTTTGTATTCTAAGCCCTATCTCATGTCTCACTATGATGAGGGTGATTGGTAACCAGATATAGAGGGGTTTGGCTTCAGTATATTTGTTTGGACCTGGGTTTGTCAAACTTCTGAATTCTCATGCTAATGACATTAAAATGAAGGAGAATAGGGTAGTTATTGATAGATGTGGACATGCTATGAGGCATTGAAGTTCCAGATTATCAATAGGTACCTTGATTACAGCTTATAGATCTGGAATGTGGATGAATGATCGCTACAAATCTCAGCACAGGTGGTGTTCAAACTGTCCAATCGAAAGGTATTTTTAATACACAGACATCTTGCAAATCACAAAAACCTCATCATTTACATTCAAGGTGCTTTTTACCACTTGACTACTATGCTTAAAAAGCAAGAGGAACTTCACACCTTGGGCTGTGAATTTATAGAATACAGATGGTTTGTAACAAAGTTCAGGTATAGCAAAAGGTAAATGGGGTCAATCAAAAAGTTCTGATATAAATTTTTCTACTGAAACAACATCAGCTCTAAAACAAACTCAAGCACACTCACTTTTTCAAGTACTTGAAACTCTAGAAAGGCATTGTCATAAAACTTCGCATTAGCATTTGTATATGCAGATGGTCTACACAGCAGTCAGAAAATCTATAGCAATGGCTGCTTCAGATACTGAACCAAAGAATCTCTTCTCCTTACAGCTCCTGCTTTCTTATTTACATTCTAAACCACTCTCTACACTTCTCAAGTTTTACCCTGAACACCAAAAAATGGGAAATTTTATTTCATTTTTGACGATGAGAGCTTTAATCAAGCAAAAATGCCTGGAGCTGAAGGAAGTAGATAAACTGGGCTCCAGGATATCTACTACTGTATCCATAACTAAATTGAATAACATGAAAATTTTATATGAATCCAAGTTGGCCAATCGAGCACTCATAGACCAGAGATGAAACCGGCTTAAATTTGCGTATACAAGCTTGGCGTTAAAGTTGTTCCTAGGATAAACTAGGAAAACGTTGGAGCAGTGAGAATGTTAACCTGTTCGCATAAGCTTACTCGCCTGATAGCCTAATGCCGCTGTCGTAGTGGCGCGTCTCGATTATGAACTCGAATTGCACAAATCTTTAACTTTTCCATTTTCGTGTGATTACACCAAGGCAAGACTCCATAACCACACAATTTGACACTTTTTTCATATAAGTCCAGCGGCTGCCTTTGATACTTACCTTCCATAGGTGTCGCAGTATAAGGAAAAGGAGTCAAGCACAATTATGAAAGGCTACCGGTATGACTACGACTTTACTGCACATTAACCGCAGGCTGCCATCTTGTTCACAACGGCTTCTCTATGCAGGTTGTCAAATCTGTCGAATCATCCCCCAATTCTGATGGAGTAGTTTATCTGCATTTTGCTTGAGGGAATTCCTTCGAATCTTCGTTTCAAAATACACTATAGCAAAGAAAAGATAGCTTGCTCCTCATGCCTATCGCAGAGGGCTGTGGATGCTCCGACAGCCACTCTTCCCGATTCATGTTCCCGTTCATTCAAAACTCCGCACCGGCATGGCTGGGCATGTCCTTGGGTGCGCAGTGCGTAGACTCTTGGGAGGGAGGCACAGGCGGAGATATGAGTCCGGCTCTTTCTTCTGCCTCCGTCTGAGTCAGTGGCCTGTTTCAGTTGAGTTCCGTCAGCGTATTCAGTTGTGCTGCGTGCTTAGGATATTCCTATTTAGGCCTCACCAAATGGGAGAGTGAATGCAAGTCTAGGGAAGCATTATTCTGGCTATCTTGCTAAACATAGGCTAGCCATGATAAAACCGTCCATCGTAGTTCCGACACTGTAAAGTAAACTTCTCATAAACCGCGTAGCGCTGCATGAGGGCGTCATCATAGTAAAAGAGTTGAGTGACTGTCGATTATACCTTACTGGAATTTATCCAGTTCAATGCCGTCGGTATGAGCATAACATTACTCCTGCTCAACCTCCGTCATAGACGAATGCAGAGTCGCACGGTTATTGTGAAGCAGGCTTTAGTCCAGGAGTGCCCTAAGTGCGTCCCCGCGGGCCGCATGCAGCACACAGTGCCCCAGTGAACATTCACTTGGGACACTCCTGCTGTAGTCTGAGCCAATGATATCCGTAACTAGCAATCAGCACCTAAGCATGAATTAATTTTATTTGTATTTTATTGTGCCCCAGATTTGAAAACCTAGCTTTTTCCCATCGTTATTCTTCAAAATAAGCATAGACCATATATTAGATGTTCATTTGTTCATTCAATTTAAATGAAATAAAATTAAAATAGAGGCATCAAGTAATAAATACGAACATATATTGAAAAAGAAGTCTGCAAAATATTATTCTTGGCTCTCTAACGCAGACTCTGAATATAAGCCCTCCCGCCCCTTCTTAAATATTTGGATTTATCATTCCTCTGAAACCCAAGGAGTAGCTGTTATATAGGACTTTCAATTCTGCCAATCCTACCTATTAAAGGTTTCTACTGTGCGTTACCTTTTATTTCACTCAGACATGCATTCATTTGATGCCTGCAGTCCTGTTTTTTTATGACTACTCATTTTTAATAATGGAAAGTGGCGATTAGGAGAAACTGGTGGCCGTAACGCGTGCCTATCAAAACCCATAAAGGCCTTTGATGTCCGACGATGAACCTCCGCCTACGTCAATCTTGGACGAGGGCAATCACCCCCCCCCCCCTGTAGATGTGAGGTGTGATTTGGATGAGAATGTGAATTGTCTGTTTTGATCAGATAGATTAGTGCAGCTGCTTCTATTCTAATGGTCGTTTGTTTCAAGTAGATGTTTCTGATTGCGAATTTCCTGCATTCACTGAGAAGCAGGCCAACCTGACTTCCTGTAGTCCTTAGGCGTAGGCCTAGAAGAAACGGGTGTCCACGTGCCTCCTTACTGAAGGAAGATATGGCCACGAAAACGACTGGTCTGGCATGGAATGGTGCAAAAGCTGCTTTTGTGCTTTTTCCATTGCAAAAAGTATTCACCCTGGTCGACGAACCTGAGTGACGGAACCAGCCTATCCCATAACCGTGGCGGCAAATAAGCCTTGGGAGCGATCCATTTGTCATCGGTCCATTACTGCCCGATGCGATGGTCTTATGTCTCTGAAGGGATTTTCTGGCGCCATTATTATCGTCCATACATCATTCGCCCGCTTCATGCAGGCCACCGTCGTAGATCGCGGCCGGATATGATTGTGGCCCCCCATGCAATATGCAGGGCTTTCTGAACAATGACGGATTCAATGGGTGGCTCCTTCTATAGCCAGGCCGGAAGTACTTCCGGTCACGGCAGGCGTGGCGTTCCGGGTACTCCTACATGGTGGGGGGGTTGCATATGCATTGACGGTGCATGGGAAGAGCTCGGCCGTATCGGGATGGGGATTTTTCAAATGTTCTCGGTCTGGGACATGATTTGTGATGGTTCTTATTATCGGTATAGTCTGAGTCATCGTGTCGCACACCTGCTAGCTGTTGACGAACTCTCACGTTTTGCCTCATGAAGTAGTTGTCGCTACTTGGATTGCCTTGCTTAATTTGTTAAACGCTTTGGCTCAATTATGTAAATAGATATTTTCTCGTGCTGTATGTTGTGGGGCTGTGGCATATTAACTGAATCCCTGAATAGAACTAAATGAATGAGTAGACTGGGAATGGCATGCTGGGTGGAAGCCAGGGAGCCTTTAGTAGGCCTACGCGAGAGGGACAGAGAGAAGCTTCGCCTGAGGCGAGGAATGCCTGCTGCATCCGCCTCTCTTTATCCCTCTCTTCTTTGTGTGTTCGTTTGGGTTGGGAGAGATGAGAATGGAGGAAAAGGTATGCAATGCAGTTGCACGATAAAAGGCTCTATCGCTATCTCTCATTCACGCACCGCTCTCAAGTTCATTCCGTCCTTCCGCCTTCTCATTCAAAAGACTTTTGATTCCATCTTTTGGCTTGTCGGAAAGCATCGAGATGACCCGACAATGAAATTTCCCCTACTTGGCCAGTTCTCTCCGAGACGCGACTGTGCGCAGTCCGTAGTCATTCGTCTCTTTCTGTTATGATTCAGCGGGGGGGGGGGGGGGGGGGGGGGGGGGGCGGCCTTTNGGGGGGGGTGGGGGGGGGGGGGGGGGGGGGGGGTGGGGGGGGGGGACGAATGCCGGCCATTCTGCTCATACAGTCATCCTTTTTTTCTTGGAAGTCAGTGGATTCAGGTAGGGCCAGGAAGGAATCCGGACGTCTGTTTCTCCTTATCCCATGCGTCATTAGTGGATTTTCCACCAACAGTGTTCTGTGAAGTGGATCTCGTCATTCAGTCTGCGCTCGTGACGGGAGCGGAGTGTAAGATGATATCGGCAGACCTATTGATGAAAAATCATCGTGGAGAGTGGCCGTGAGGTATAACGGTTCATGGCTTAATATCATCTTGATGCGTGATATCATACAGAGAGAACAATGCGGTTGGGCTCATCGTGCATGTCCGAAAAATAAGGACTGACAGTCTGCCTCTGCCCCCCTAAGTTTGACCCTTGGCTCGGCCTCGACATGGCATGCAAATGCCAACCCGACATAAAGAACTCGGGCAGACACCTGAGAGGTTTTTTTTTCTTCTTCTTTCTCTATCTCTCTCCTCTCTCACGTCTATCGTGTCGATGACCTTCATCCGCCAGAGGCAAGAATAATCTCCTTATCTATGTTGTACATTGAGTACCTTATAGTTCTTGGCTACAGATATCTTGGTAGTGGTGCTCTTGCAATGCTTCATTGGATCCGGAAGGAAGAAATTGAGGCCTATCTGTTCAGTATTTTTCTCGATGGGGATTGGGAAATCGTAACACCGACTGTTGCTCAATATATCAATGTGCTTATTACGGGCAGTTTCCGGAAGATTGTCATTTGACTCTATGGTAATATATAGAGAGAAAAAAAGATCTAATTTCCAAGATTTCACGAGGCCTTCGTATATTAAATTAATCGGGACTAATTCCCTATTCAAGTCTTCACAGTAAAAAAAAATTAATTATTTAGACCTGATCCTGCAATTTAAAGTTTCTTTAGTTTGTCAGTTTCAGGGGATTCTGGCGCAGAAAGGCCAATGAAGGAGTCTTAGTCCACTGAAGATGAAATACCCATACGTCATATATGTTTATATATATATATATATATATATTTTTTTTACCAGCTCCTATCTCGAGCATCAATGATGTGAACTGACGATCTCTGTTATTACCGTGAGAGTCGTGTTGTCTTCTATTTCTAGACGGATGCTGTTTTTCTAAGTTAGGCAGGTGTGATCGGGATAAGAGAATTTGAAATATAATGCATGATATAGAATCTTGGTGCGATACTCCCGGAATTATAGTTGGTTCTCAAGGAGCCAGTCTTTTTTTTTTTAGGATGGACCTGTACCTTTTCCGTTCCCATCATTCAGTCATCACTGGTAATTGGGGGACTGTAGATAAAGGAGAGGGTGCTGCAGCAGCAGCCAAGCTCGCTTCCGGTCCCTTCACCTTGTAATGTAGGCGTCCATCCATGAACATTCTCATTCTCTTTTCCTCTCCTACTTGGCCTGCAATCGACCGAAAGAGGAAAGAAAAGTGCTGCGCATGATATGACACGAGGGAATCATAATGACGGGGTTTCCGGTGTCACAGAAGTGCCAGTCATTCGTCATCGTGGGAGACAAGTTTCCTCCCTCCCACCCTTCGAATTTGAGATCCTGACCGACTCGCGAGTCGGATGTCCCACACTCCTAATCGCTGATCTATCCTTTCTTCTACCCCTTTTCAGGTTCGCTGCTATGTTTGTTAAGTGTGGATTAAATATCCAGGATGAGTGTGGATGACTTGAGGATGAATCCCAACTATTTAGCCTATAGTCCAATGAAGAGGAAGGAGGCGAACGGGTCCGTCCCCATCGGGAATGGTGATACGAGTGGTCTTTCTGCGTCGTCGAGAGACAAGGAGAATAATCATCACCACCTGTCCTTAGCATCTAGGCCGAAACACGGTCACAAACACCTGCCGTTCGGTCTTCCTGTGGCACGAACGTCCTTACATGAACGCATCGGACGCCGATCATCGGCTGCGCCGTCCATCAACCGTCCCAATCTTCAAAACCTGAAACGAGTCGAAGCTTCGGCTCATGTGATAGTGAACAATTACGTCCATGTTCCTCGTGGAGGCGGAGATAACAACCAAGCCGTCGGTAACATGTACCGAAGCAACTCGAGCCTTGACTTGGAGGACGATGTGGAAGTGGAGAGAGGCGCTGTTTCCATCACCCCAGCAACTACTTGTTCCACTTACAAGAGAGAATATGGAAGTCATGGATCCATCGATGTGCTTGCAAACGAGGGACTCAACAGTGCGGGTCCGAGTCGAAGCAGTACAGTGCCTTCTGATGTCCCCAGTTTTCTGCGAGATAAGAGCGATTCCTTGCCATCTTCATCGATATCCGGACCGAACACGTCCGCAACATGTGGAGGGAACGAAACCCCAAGCCCTAAACCCAAGAGCAAGTTCTATCGCCTTTGGGAGCCGCGAGGTGAGAGGGAGAAACCGAACAAGCAAAAGAAGCATTCTGTCTCGGAGCCTTCTATTTTCAAGAAACTGATGGGCAGCAAAAGTGTCGTGTCAAATGCTACAACGGAACCACCATCTTGGACTGGTGATCGAGTATCGCTATCCGCTTCATCCACCGGCACCCCTAGTCTTGATTCTTTGTCCATGCCTAATCAAAACATGGAAGGAATGGACGATCGGTGGAGGAGGAAGGTGTTCGCCCATTACGACTGTCAGAGCGTCGTAGCGAATCTCTCCTATGCAGCCAGATTGCGGGGGATGTTGGCGAAGCGAAGGAATACGACGACTGGGGCTTCGGCTGCATCCGTCGGTTCAGCTCGACCTGGAATCTCCTACAACGGGAACTGTCCAACTTCCGATCCCTCACCTGAGACCATCACCGAGACGGACTATGGAGATGGGAAAAGCAACGACCTCGTTCTCAGGTGAGCTCCTTTGTTCACGTTTATACGGGGGACTCAGAGGAATTTGCTCGTGTGTGATGTGTCGCCCTGATTCCAGCACGTTATTTCCACCGGTTTCATCTCAAGGAGGTTGGGGTCGTCGTAATGATGTTTGTGAATGGGAAGGACGATTGCATTATATACCCATGGTAATTACTCAAGAGAGTATCAATTAATGCGTCAGCCATGGATGACCTTGGACCGAGAAATATCAGATGATGATAACGCCAAAGATTTTAATTAATCCTGTCATGCTTTGTAAGTTCCTTGGCAGGGAGCAATGGTAAATTACCTCTCCTAGTGAATCGAGGTCTCTTAAAGTTTGACTCAAAAATAGCCTCAGTTTAGTGTTTCTTCAAATGGCTTGAGTGGAGTGGCTTGAGAGGAATGCGTGCACGCATCCCTATCACGGAAATGTTTAACTTTGTGCTGTGAATGCACGCAGAAATCCGGACTACCTTTCAATGAACATTCAATCGTTCCGTATTGTCGGCGTTGCGTGAGTAGAATCAGGTCAGATTTATCGATGCTCTAGTCCAGCACGTGCTGCAGTACAGAGTATTCATGTATTTCTTGTGGAGTTGTCATGGCAGTCCATTGTCTGCAGATGAAGGGAGAGGAAGCGTCACAGAGAAGGCGAGGCAATCAAACAAAAGCCTGAACTGTTTTTATTGTCTTCGGAATCGGTTGAGCAATTGTCTTTCATCCGGAAGTCCGTCTTTGTGCTTTCACGTTCCTCCTTCCCATGGCTCCCCGTTCTTCCTATTGCCACATGGACTATGTGTAACGCGAAGCAGGAGGATTGGGCCATTTACACCCGAATGAAAAATCGGACCGTCTTGTTGAAGTCCAATTTGTTCTGGACGAAAATGGGCCCCTTGGTCGTTGGCCCTCTGCCCTTCACCAGACAGTATGGGTTCCACTCACTCTTCTTTCTCAATGAGGCTCTTCCTTGTATGCGGTTTATGGCGTCGGCAAGAAGTGCTCATGACAGGCAAAAAATGTCGAAATCGTTGCTGTACCCGTGAAGAGGAGGGTTTCGTGGCCGTTGAAAAGGATTCTTGATGGCTTCCCCAGAGTAGCTTTGAGGTCTGTGATGTGGCTGTTGTGGCTTTCAGAAGAGAGGGCCCTCTTTTTTCTTCCCTCGGGGTGTGGTCTGAGTGTGTGGATGAGATAGAGAAAATACACGCCAGAGGCCCTACAAGGGAAGAAAGACGTTGGTTCAGGGACCTCCCTCTTAGGGTGGGTGAGGGAAAAGGGGTGGGGGAATGCATTTTTGTGGGTTGATATGGGCAGAGAGGTAGGGCTTGGCTGACAGGCACAGTACATAGTCTTTCTTGCACGCCATGCGATGCGACCTTGAATGTGGATGAAGAGGGAGAATCTAACTTACTGGCCTACCATCATACCTTGGACTATGCCATTCAAGTCATGTATTTTTGCTCGGATGAACGACCCTGCCACTCCTTGCCCCTCCCTCATCGACCGAAACCATTTTATTTTGAATGCTTAGATGGGTATACGATTGTGATGCCGTGAATATTAGCCCTCTTGTGATACGTGGCTTCCTTTAATCTCTGATTCGGTTATCGTGAGTAGGAGTTGGGTATTCGGGAATCCTATTCTGGCTGCGACTGAAAGGTGCCGGCATACTGCCTTACGTCTTGGCTTATATTTGCGTGAAGGATGGGTAATCGTTTATCATTGTTAGTTAATGAGTTCAATTATGAACCCCCTGTGAGAGAAAGATTCAACTTGGGTTTGGCCCCGGATGCGGCAGGGTCTCATAATGGCATCGCCTACACTTGAAGGAAGAAGGTCAGGGATTCCGGCCCATGCCCAAGCCGTATGTCCTTCATTCGCTTCGCCTACTACCTACAGGTTGGCTATACAAAGAGTGTACTTGTAAGATAGGCGCCTCCTCTGCTCCAGTCGTAATGAGCGCTGCGAGGGGTGAAATCCTGCACTCCTCGCGTTTTCCTTGATCAAGGACGTGGAAGAGAGAGCAATACCTGCATGTTGGGAGCGGATGATGTAACGGAATCAGAGGAAGAATGTTCCTTCATTAGAGACGATGAGACGAAGAGAGCTACGTCATTCTGCTATGCAATGACGAGAAAGCCCCACAGTGCAGAAGCTCTCCATCTCCCTGCATATGGATGACATACATACGAATAATGCTCTCTTTCCCTTTCTATCTGCTTTCGAAAGAGGCCCTTCTCGAATGCACGATGCATCCCGCGTGCTGCATGCAGTCTACGCCCGATGAATGCTAGGCGTGAATGAAAGAAGGAACTGTTCCTGGTCCCAGGGCTGACCCCCTCCCCCCAAGTTTTTTTTGTTCAAGAAAGAACTGAGTCACCTTCCGTGATCGCCAAGTGTTGTGTGCGACCTCAGCGAGACGCCTCTCGCAACGTCCGCGGACCAGTTAGTATGGTGCCGGTAGCAAGATAGTGGACGTCAACAAATTTTATACCTAGTAATGGAATACTGTATACATGATCTCGACTGAATTTAAATAATAAAAAAAAACAATCAAAACAGAAATGGCCGAGAAGGAATGTCAGTTCCTACAATAGGAGCATGATATCGTCCACGCTTTTCGCCCTCTACCTTCCCCCCTTCTTTGTTCATCCTCCTCCATTGCCTTCATACTGCCCTCTTGTGCGATATATAGAGGATATTCCTCCTCTGCTAAGCCGGGCTTTACCATTTTGATTCTTCTTTTCCCCATGAGAAAATAAATTCTCCAAAAGGAAGTCCCTCGCACTTCTTAGTTTTGTTCTTAACCTTTCTTGAGTGTGTGCCTAGGGTGCGTCAACCTCCTCCAGTAGATGTCTAGACAGACTTCCGTGGTTCTGTTTGTGGACTTTTCTTGGATCCCCACAAACACGGTGCTCCTAAACAGCTGTCACTCGAGGCTCTCGTGTTTATGTGTCACGAGACACCTCCTACCCTCCCATTCCATCGATCTTCTCTCATTCCCCTCCCTTGATTTTTCTTCCTCCAACAGTTTTGATGTAAATGCACTTTAGGGAAGAGAGTCACGATGTCATATGATGAATGGGCTTCCGCTTTAGACGGACACGAATGTCGGCCGCATTCTAAGCCTACAGTAAGTCTAATTATGACACCTGAGGCGATTCCTCGACCCCTGCAGCGGCCTGCCACGGACACTCACTAATGAGCAATGAGAAGAGCCTTCGTCCTTCCATATCTCTTCTTACATGACAGAGAGATGAAAATTTTATCCTCCCCAACATGCTATTTCTGTTTGAATCAGGGGGATTCAAACAGAAATAGCATGTTTGAATCCCCTCCTCCGTTTGTCTACCTATGGACGTGATTGACCTCGCTTGATGGAAAACATGGGATTCCAGGAAATGTCCTTGCTTGGTTCCACTTTTCCCCAAGGAAAAGGGAGTGAAAAAGAGAGAAACCGTGATTTTCGAGCAACTTTGCCCTTGGAGGACCAAGGGCAATTCTGAAAACTGCTTGGAGTAATTGTCCCCTTTTCTGTTCCAGCTGTCCATACTTTAGGAATGAGCTGGGAGGAGAACCTCAGCGTATCGTGGGCCTGACGAGGGAATCCTCAAGGACTGGGAGCGTAAAAGTGGAAGGCTGGCGACGAGATGAGCAACACCGTCTTCCATGGCCAGCATCTTTGAGCGAATTGGAACCTCCTCAAGGGAGAGACACATTATGGAGACATGGTACCTGCTCGCTCTCCCAAAATCCTTTCTGCATCCAGAATATGGATCGAGGAGCCCATTACTACGCCAAATACTTTTATGGCGAAGGTGAGTGTGATGAGACAGAGAAAGATTTCTCAATCAGAGACAGGAGGAGGCGTGTAATTAGTGAGGGCAGGGCAAGCACACAAAGAGGATAAGGGCTGGGTTCCGCAGGCTTCTGGATCTGCCCATGTTTTAACATGCTGGGAAAGGAAAGGAAATGAAAGGAAAGACGAAAGAGGAGCCATGTTTCTTCCTTGGCAAGATGAAGTCTGTTTCCCCTCTTCCCACCTCCGGCGTTTGGAATCTACAGAAGAGAGTGACTGACACTTCCCGTAGGGCATCGTGAACATTGAGAGAAGCCCCGAGGGTCTAGTTCAGACTATCAACAGGGCCTTCTCGTGAAATGAAGCCGAAAGGCTGTGTAATCCACTCCACTGCGACCGGTGGTCTTTTGTTGACACAAGGCGTTGAGACAACCTTGGTTTCTATTGCTCGTCCCTCATTGTATGATGCAGAACTACAGCACTTACATTATGTTGACAAGGAAGGTAATACTTAATCCTGTTGTGTATATAATGCAGTCCACCTTCATCGTCCTGTTCTGTATTACATTGGACAACATCGGAAGTCTCTCTAGGAGAGGACAGGAGAAAACGAAGTCATTATTATCTGGAAACCTTGTCCTGTTCCAGAGCCAGAAAGGATTCTCTTTTTTTTTATAATGCGAAACGGTTACATTTTCTACAGGACCTGGCATGCTCCAGCCTCGCTCAGGTTCTCACTTACTCCTCAGGAACATGTGAGAGCAATTCATATCCTTCCCTTCCTTTCTTTTTCTATAGGGATCCACACGTCAGCATCTGGATTTAGTCAGTCTCTCTCTCGCTCTCTCTTGAAGACAAAGGATAAAGATGCAACCGCCGCCGCCGTAAATACAGGACGCGAGTTGGGATTGCTATCACATGACTCAGCGCGTCCTTTATCCCCCTTTTCTCAGTCAGGGCGCTCAGGTCCTTCACCTATCGTGCAAATTTACTCGGATCATATTCCTCCATCCTACAGTAGGCCAGATTCAATGAAAACTGGATCAAACTATCCAGGAATAATTCGTCCTGATTCCGAATTTTACTTCAGTTACTAATTACAATTTCTCTATTCGCAAAATAGACAGGGTATTAAATAGCTCTAGTCCAAAAACGTGCAGTGTGTACACCTGGTTCTATGGCTGTTCTTTGTCCAGGTTGAGTGCAATGCACCACATCAAGGTACTTCATTAAAAAGTATTTGGAATCCTTACGGGCACCTTATAATTTGCATTTCAAGTTAGCTTGAGAAAACCAACTACGTTATGGACCGATGAAACAGTTGCCAGCTAATTTTCTGCAACTTCGATGCATGCACTCATTTAATTTTCCTTGCAGGGTTGCATGCAATTGTAAACGGAAAACAGAAATTTCTTCAGTAATACTTGGAAAGTCGATAAGAAATGGGTATTTGCACACCGTTCAGCTTTTGAGGCCTGTGGGAACCAAGTAAGCGTAATCAACAGAAAGACCTCCATTCTCAAAGATGAACGGCCACCCATTTAGAAAATAATGTGAGCGAAATCATTATCCTAGTTATTCTGTGGAATTTGGAATTTTGTCCTGGTTTCTACAGAGTCTGGCCCACTGTATATCCCACGACTGCCTTACCCCCACCCCCATTGTCTGATCGGAATTCGAAAACCCGCCGCTCTTCCGTCCCATTTTCTCCACTGTTCAGGCTTTAGAGGCTTTTTTTTCGCTTCCATTGAGTCATTTGCACCTGCCTCTGCCCGGGCATGACTTCCTTCCGGTTTCGTATTTCCGGGGTTCCATGGAGTGGGTGGGTGCAGTCTAACGGATTTTTTTTTTTTTTCCTAAAACAAAAACCCTGCGTGTCCGTGACATGGATCCACCCACGGCTACGGCACCATGCATCGCGGACCAGGAAGAGGAAGATTCGCCTCTCTTCCTTTCTCACTCGCCGTCACGAAACCGAGACCATGACCAGATAACGAACCACTCGCATGGGCGCATGACTACTACTCCTTAAAGAAAACTTTACAGGCACTTTCTAGTTTCAGGTGAAAAGAAAACTCTTTTTCAGACGTTGACAAATGTCAAACGGGTAGAGGAAAGGAAAGCTATGGGAATGATGAGTGTTGCGGAATGACAATTCACCTCAAGGCTTTGGCTTGAGGGCAGTGTAGTTTTCGACGAAGGATTGCGATCAGAAGCGATGAAGAAACCTGTGCGACTTTTTTCTGTCTTCTTTTATTCTTGTAGCGCCGCACGTGATATATTGGGTTGATTACAAAACGCACGGCTTTCATTGACCTTTGCCAAAGTCGGGTTCCCATGATCCATCAATTGCACTCCGGTTTTCCTTTCTCTCCATTTCCTCTACTTTTCCCATCCTTTCAGGGATTATACCTCCACACTCTACTTCAGAGCGGCTGATTACAAACCGAAAAGGAGAGACCGGTTTGATGTTGCGTGCTTAATTACTGCACTGCGGTTTAATTGACATAATTTGAATCACCTCCTGAGGGAGCATCCTAGAGGAAATTAGCTTCATACTTGTCGAAGTAGACACCCCAGCTTGTGAACTTCGCCGCGGTCTTTCTGAATTAAATCGTTGAAATTGCGTGGAAATGCAGGAAACGTGTTCGCCAAAAATCAGCGGTCTAGGCAGTGACTTTCAAAATAAGGATATCGTCGTTTATTTATTAGAATTTATTAAGTGATGAGGATGGGAAGCTTCCAGAATGATGCTGCACCCTATCCATGTGGAATAAGTGTTAAGACAAGTGTAGGTCGATTATGCGAGAGAAAGATTATACGTCCTTGGCCTTAGTGAAGGAAGATGACGGTGAGTCGTCCTTGTCATGCTCGAGTGTCTATGGGGTGTGTGTGTGTGTGTGTGTGTAAATGAATGAGATGAGAGGAAGAAGGCTCAAGGTCGATGAGATTCATGCCTGAAGCCACGTTGAAGAGTGTAGATCATCATCATTATCTTGCTTCTCTTCACCCTCAAGGGGGAGAGCCTCTGTTCCATCCTCTTTTGTTGAAGCAAGGAGTCTCGGAGATTGAATCTTGATGTAGGCTTAGCAGAGCAGTAATACAAATGGAATGATGATTCAGATTCAATGCGTACCTAGGCGGGGGTGGGACACGAAGACGAAATGAAGACCTCCACCCATCAGTGTCGACTGTTGAAGGGCAGGGCATCGTGTTCCCTTCTCCGTGTTTTATCCCATCCCAGGGAGGGGAGGAAGGATCTATAAATGGCAGGGAGGAAAGGAAACGGTTGCTTGCGTTCAAGGTAAATGGGCCGCTTGCTTGGATCCCAGGAAGAGAAAAATCACCTTTCCCTTTTACCCGTTCCGGTGAATCCCCTTTCCAGAGAGGAAATTAGGGCCTTCCCGCTACCACATGATCTGGAACATAGCAGATGGAGCCTTGAGGGGGATTCTTCCTTACAACTACAAACGAGACTGTAAAGGGGGAAGGGAAGGGAAGGGAAGAGGAAGTCGTTTTCAACCGGACGGGCACATGGTCAACCAGGAAGTCCTTTCCGGGACATTTCCCCCCTACTCTTTCCCCTAAGCAGATGCGTTGGGGAAAAATTACTCGAAGATGGGAAGAGCAGATGCTTTAAGGTGATCACGAAGGATTTAGAATTTCCGGGTGAATCCCACATAAATAAAAATGGCGAGTCCATTTCTGGCATTCTCTTAGGTCAGCAGTCACGAACGAGGAGGTCAAGAGTTTAATGATCGCATCGTCTTGACGGGAGGGAATGCCTAGTTGGTGGTGTTAGCTTACCAAGAAGGCAGGGTATTGTCCATCGGTGACGTGGGAATGACGGTGTCTCTAATGAGGGAAGTGGGCTACTGGCGGCACATTCTCTTTGTACACTCAGTATATATAATACACCCCTCTTTAGTCCCCAGGCAGGCCATTCCTCATCCCAACCGCCTTGGCTGGCTTTGCCTCGGGTGAGGAACTCCTCACAAGCCACAATTAACTGTCCACCTTCCCATTATTCTAATAATCAGGGGAAGAGTACTCGTATGTATGTTCACCTTTTCAAGTGGTAACTTCCGATACGGTAGGAACATGAGCAAGGAAATGACCGCTCTGGGGGGTTTGGGAGAGAGTGCAAATAAAAACTGTGGCTTGTCGTGCATCCCCTTTCATTGAAGAACCCCCCTCATTGATTTGGAGAAAGATTTTTACCTACATGTTAATTTTATAGTTTTCTGTTTCAACATATCGTTCATAATTTGGGCATCGAGAATCACCATGAAGAATGCATTCCTTACAGACCACCAGAACTGGTTCGGGTTGGATGAGAGCTTGGGTCCTGTCGCCATTAGCTTCAAGAGAGAACCAATTGAAGAACTGCCTAGTACCAATCAAACTAAAGCCATCAGCTGCTCTTCCATTCAGTACCAGTATCGTCTTCTCGTCCGCACCAGTGAGGTGGGAAGTTCATGTCATCCAACAATAGTTTTTCACATTGTCAAAAGAGTTACACATCCATCCTTTCAGCAAAAAGATTCAGATTCATGCAATCGTTGCATTTCACATAGATGCACTAATTTGCAAAGGATTCATACTGCATTTACCATTGTGAATAATTATTTCTATGATTTATATAAGAAGGCGAGGGAATTTCTCTGCATTGAACCCATGTTAAAGTTGGTATAAATTCATTTGAAATCACTATAGTTGATGACTCTGAGAGGAACCATCTTGGAGGAGGCTTTACCAAGCATCAGAGCATATGGTGGGAGCAGCTCAGGAGCAAAAGACCGCCTTCCAGTCAAGGAAGTATTAGAGATTGTTGCTCCTGAGTTGCAGCTTTCCTGGTGAGTTCTAAGCTTGCATGGCCTTGTCATTTCCCCTCATACATTCATTCTGTCCATGAGTCAGTTAATGTCATGCTATGACTTTTTTTTTTTTACATTCTTTTCATTCATTCCATTGGGAATTCTGTTCCTATCTTTGACTTGAATAATATTGCAAAAAAATTCAGTTCATATTAATTTAAATTATCATTTTCCATCAGCTTGCGACTTGGCAATAGTGGACAGGGAACTGAAGAGCAGTTATTAAAGCTTGATCAGCAAGGCTTGGCAAACCACTTCAAAGTTGGGATCATGTACTGCAAAGCTGGGCAAGCAACAGAGGAAGAAATGTACAACAATGAAGAAGCAGGTCCAGCTTTTGTGGAGTTTCTGGAAATGATGGGAGAAAAAGTGCGTTTGAAAGGGTTTGACAAGTATCGAGCAGGTCTCGATAACAAGAGTAAGTTTGGATTGCTTTTTGTTATTTTATAATGTATAGTGCAGCAAAATTATTTTGTATCTGATAAGTGTTTCATTTATCATATAGCTGATTCTACTGGTCTGTACTCTGTTTATGCCAAGCATCAAAGCTATGAAGTAATGTTCCATGTGTCCACAATGCTCCCATTCACCCCTAATAACAGACAACAGGTGAGAGTAATGAATTCTTGTGTGTATGGCTTCTGTTTTCAAGGTTTTCCTCATATATGGATGATGAAATGTTTTCTTATTTTGCAGTTGCTTAGAAAGCGATACATAGGAAATGATATTGTCACCATCGTGTTCCAAGAACCTGGGGCTCTCCCTTTCACTCCCAAGAACATCCGTTCACATTACCAGCATGTCTTCATCATTGTTCGTGTTATGAATCCTTGCACTGACAAAACAAGATATAGGTATGACCTAATTAACTGTTATCCTTTGGCATAATTTATATGGACTTCACCATTATTGGATGGATATTGTGATTCCTCATCAGTATTGTCGTGAGTCGCTTCAAGGATGTCCCAATATTTGGACCTCGCATTCCAGAACCAGCATGCTTCCCCAAGTCCAAGGCATTTGCTGAGTTTCTCCTAACCAAAGGTAAGCACTTCATTGGCTTGTACTTCAAGCCATGATGGGAAAAACCATCAAAATCCATAAAAATCTGATTGGACTTTGATCTCTCTTCCTTTCATGGATTCACTTGTTTACATGCCATTAATGATCAATATCTTCAAGAAATAGTGAATATGTAGTGCTCAGAAAGATTAATCACTTCGTAAGTGGCTAATGATCATAATAGGAGAGTAAGCACTTTCTGCAGAAGTGCTTGTTTGATAGATAACATGATTGTGATCTTGCCTCATTTTAGATACAAGAGGTGAATTGGAATGGGCTCTAAAACCACTAAGCAACAAGTGGGAAAGGTTGGCTTGAGCAAAGATGAGAGACATATGTGTCTTATTATCATAATTGCTTGTGTAGGTTTACCAAGTGCTCTATGGGAATGGCCTACTTTTTTTTCATGACCCCCTAGAGGCAAATGAGAGGGCACACTTGTTTTTCTTTGTGATTTCTTACTTTGTGAGTTAGAAATTGAGGATGCTTTGATTTTCTTCCTTTAGTAATCAATGCAGAGTTGGCAGCTCATCGTTCAGAGAAGTTTTCCACCATGGCCACACGTACCAGGCAAGAGTATCTCAAGGATCTGGCTACTAACTTCATCACCAATATTCCCATTGAGCCTGCTACCAAATTCTGTAAGTTTCTGGCCACGTTTTAAACATATTATTTTATTCACCTATTTGTTTATAAGTATCAGGAAATTGGATTAGAACATGGAGGGGTCATGCCCCTGAGTTGGGGCTGTGTAACCTTTTCAGATACTGTACAGTGTATGGAAAAAAGAGAGTATGTTATAGTAATTGAAGTTGATGTGAATTTAGGACAGATGGCAGGTCATGCTTCTTCCCAGGACTGCAATGAGAACCAATTATGATAGGTTGAGGGAATTAAAAGAGCAACCTAGTAGTATAGAGGAAGAGGGGTGAGGAAGTGAGGTGATGAATGACTGTACAATCTTTCTTCCTTCCCTTTCTCTTGGCTACTGTCACTTCTAAAGGTACTAAATGTCTCCCCTGTGGGAATGGTGTCTAATACACTCTCATGAAATGCCATCTAAGTGGGACCTAAAGAAAGTAGTCAGGTTGTATTACTAGACTTGAAACCTCTGCATTTTTACTTCAAACTGCACTGTTGGGTGCATTCTGCACTAGCAGCATAAGGCCTCAGACATTACATATAATATTTTCTAAAATATATTGTTTATTCTTTGATTATGGAAGTGGCCTAATACTTAGGTACCTCTATCATTTACCAGAGAGCTTTAGCCAATAAAATTCTTGTGTGACACATTCAAGCATTATTGCTTTATTTCCTTGGTCATGGCCATCTTTATGTTGCATTCAGATGCTATGGGTTTTTTGCAGGTTTTTGACTGGTCAGACATCTTATTTTCATCTCTTCAATATTATGTGTTTCAGCAAATTATTCAAATGGTTGATCAAGTTTTAATGGGCTCCTACTTCTTTTCAGCCAGCCAATCATATCATGATGGATGTTTGTGCCTTATGTTAAGGAGCATAATGCATAATGGGCCTCTGATGCAAATGTCAATCCCATTAACTCGTGTTCACACCCTTGCACAAATACCAGAATTGATCCACTTCCTTCAATTGCCAAAAGTTGCCAATTTTTCATGTATTGGTCCAATGCTTCCAGAGATCTGATATTATATGATTGAATATCTTGTTCATGTTTTGAATATTAAACATATAGGCCATGCAAGAGCAAAACTCATAAATGTCATAATTGATGTGTGATTGGACTTGTCTTACCCTGAAGGTGCTTATAGTTTTTAGATGGGTTTCCACACACTTCTCTAGAAGAGTTTAGGATTACCCCAATACAAATTTTCTTGAATGATGATTCCTTTGGTTGAATGTTCCCTAAAAATTAACTAGGGAGGAACAGGATCAGGAATGGGTGGTGCACTTTCATCAGCTGGAATGTCCTTTAACAATCCTCAATTTGGCTTTTTTGTGGGGGTCATATATCTATTGTGTACTATGTGAAAATTTGGAATCTTGAACATCTTAGAGGAAGAATTTCTCAATTTTTTCAAGAAGTGTCAGAGGCATTTCTTACTAATCCATGTAATCCATTAATTCCCAAATCATAACTGGAAATGTTTTGATTATGTGGGACAATATATAGAAGTCTACCTTAGGTGCACTGAGCAATGAAAAAGATCCAAAGTCGTAATCCAATGTATCCTCATTATTCTGCTGTTTCCTTTATAAATGAAGATTGTTGACATCTCTAAAGCCTTTAAAGCCTCTAAAAGTGTCTTGTATAAAGTATCTTGATCAAGTACCATAACATTCTAAATACCCGACAGAGACGGACAAACTGAACACAAACTACTTGGGTTCTGGAAAAAATATGATATTGTTGAACTCAGCTTGCTCTGCGTATATGAATCTTTTTAAATCTCAAAATAAATGTGAAACCACTTTTTAAGTAAAGCTTAAACTTAGTCCATATTCATAGCACTCAGACTGGCAGAGCCCACTGGATCCATTTTGACAAAGGATGTTCCATTTGGTTACTTTTGCTCTGGCTATGTGGTTTTTTTTTTTTTGAGATCTCGTGTGCTGATCTAGTATGGAAAGTAAGAAGTACTTATCTTGAAGTACATTTGCTAAGGCAAAAAATACTTGGCTGATTTACAAAAATGAGGTGTTCTTGAACTATCTTAGCTCTAATTTGCTTTATTGGCCTTGGGTCTGGCAAAAGTATTGAAGGTACAAAAGAGTACATATTATCAAGAACATCCTACCTGAATTGGAAAAAATTACCACTATCATCAGATAAATAAGATGTGCTTGATAAACTTCCCTTGACAGTGACTATGCTACTTGAGCTTCATGTAGAAATTTTAAAATGTATTCATACAGTGTTTGGCACATAACATTTAAGAAGTAACTATTTACGATAACGTGTGTACCATCTGGAAGTAATTAGCTGCAAGTAGATTTATTTCTGAAGCTTGTGAGAGCCAATCCAGGAAGATTCCTCAATTCTCACCTGTTTGTTGTACTTGAATGATCAGTTTTTGAAAGCTGACCCTGAAATTGTGTTGCTTTATTACTTCCAGCTGTGCTGTCCTTCACAAACAAAAAGAGGGAGAAATGTCCTCCTCGCTTCATCCCAGACAAGAGGACAAGGGGGGGATTGTCATGGCTTGTGCAGGTTGAAGACTCGGGACATAGTCAATGGATAGATTGCATTCTTGCAGTCTCCGCTGATACGTTTGCCTTGATCGAAGAGTCCTCTGCTGATGTCCTGTTTGCTATTCCATGTCGATGTGTTCTTGGATGGACCACTCAAACCTCTGCGTAAGACTGAACTAATGCAGTACATGCATTTAGGGAAAAAACTTCTTTGTAGTGTTGCATCTCTTAAAGTCTATATGGATATGTATGAAGAAGTTCTTTGGAATTTGAGTTTATGCCATGAAAGTAACTACAATGCTTTCTTAACCCTTTACTCAGTACTGTCTTGGAGACACATTTTCAAATGAATTGAAAGTGTGTAGCATCAGATGGAGCAAAGATTTGATTAAGGACAGAAGTCTTATTGGTACAATAAGACTACCATACTACCATATACTACCATAATCTATGCTGGGAAATAGTGGATTGCTCCTGCAATTATTCCATTATAAATTTGCCATAAGGGTGGCAATGAATCTCAGCCCTTGTAATTCCTTTTAATAGGATGCGAATCTTCTATCATCAAGGGGAAAGTGTGTATATAAGTCCAAGAGAATCTGACTTGGATGCAGCTGAGTGCATGAAGCATATCATTCTGAGGCTACAAAATGTCACATCTGGGTGTGAAACCATGGAACTGAAACTGTCCCGCAACAGCCTCGGTCAACTGGGTTTCCATGTGCAGCATGATGGGCTTGTGTCTGATGTTGAGAAATATGGCTCTGCCTGGCAAGCTGGTCTGCACTCTGGCAGCCGACTCGTTGAGGTTAGCACTACATCTCATTGGGTACTTGAATAGTAGTTTTTCTCATATTTGCCTAACTATGACCTTAATATTAATTTACAGATTTGCAAGGTATTGGTTGTCACATCAAGTCACAAACAGATGGTTGATCTTCTCAAGAATTCAGTGACTGTAGCAGTGACTGTGATACCTCCACTTGAAGATGGTGTTCCTCGCAAGTGAGACTAGTGTGCCCTGATCTCTTCATGCTTTCTCTGGTCCACCCCAAGTTCAATAGGTGACATGCTGAAACTTTTTTTTTCCATCAGGGGTTGCAATTCAAAGGCTTGCCCTTATACTCTGCTCAATGAAGAAGAATCCTATGAGAATGTGGGTGAGGGAGAAGGAATGAGCAGGATGGGGGAAGCTGATCTCCATCCTTCCCATTCTCATCCTGGCTCTCGAACCATCAGTCGTACCCCTATGCCACCTGCACCTGCTTCAGCTGCTAGTCATTTTAAGAGGTAGGCATGTCACAAGTTCCATTTGAAATACCTTCTTCATATTTTCCTCATCCAATCATTTTGTACTTTGAAATCTTTTACTCCTGCCAGATATGAGAGGAGTGTATCCCCACACAGTTCTGGATATGGGACTGGTAGCAGTAGCAAATCTTTCACTACCAGTCTTGATAGAAAACTGCTGGAAATAGGAAATGTAAGCTCATTCTTGAAACCATCTTGCACATGTTTGTATGCAATTGATCATCTATACAAACAGGTAATGCTTTACTTGTTTCAGGGAACATTGACAAGCAATTCTAGTGAGGAGCACTGGTATGAAAATGAACACATGTGGGGAGAGAGGGAACGAGAAAGAGACCGTGATCATGAGAGGAATTGTGAGGTCATTGGTATGACAGGAACTCCTCCTCCACCTCCTCTTCCAGCCCGTAGCACTTACCCCACTCCTCCAGTGCAGCTCACGCCTCGTCGGAAAGAAAACAATATGGTATGTCCTAACCTGAAGATTAATTCATTAGCAGTTCATTAAGGGACTAAGTTTACTATCAGCTATTCACATTTTCTCAGGGAGTGGCACTGTTACATGCTCCTCGCCATCATCACCAGATCACCTCATCTAGTCATGCCATCAACGAACCTCGAAGTTACTCCAACTATGTCAATGCTGCCCACCTGACTTCTTCCCGCTATAGAGATGGTTCTGGAAATCATAACAATAATTATCAGCCTTGGAGTGCATCTCTGCATGACCTCAATAAGCACCTGGCATCCTTGGAAGATCTTTCTGATTATGAGAATGAAGAAGAACCTCACCCCAGATATGAGAAATTCTCTGAGAGACAGTCTAGATCTCAAATGCATCTTGCTGGACCCAGTGATAGTGGGAGGTATCTTGTCCCTCCAGATAGAAGGAAGAAGCTCTTCCATAAGGTATGGGATAAGTGAATCTGTTGATTGTGTTTATAGTTGATATAAGTAGTCTAATCTTCCTGTGTACATGGTTTATTTTTATTTTCAGCCTGGAGAAAATGCATCTCATGAATGTCTGGTCAAGTCCAGTAGTCTTCCAATGGATCGTCTTCTTGGTGGAGATGTTGGCTTTTCTTTGCCTCCCACTGTCACTGGTGCTGGAGATGGCCACTCAACTGACACTAGCTCAGCCAGTGATCGTCTCCTAGGTCACCGTAGTGAAGGTTGACATCAATGTCACTTTTTCTTATTTTGATTCTGTTGATTCCACAGCTGAAGATATAAATACCAAATCATATTTGTTTTTAGATGAATTGTCATCTGGAAGCGTGAGTATAAGTGGTCTGTGTCTCAAGGGGAATCATCTTGGCCAAACACATATACCTCGAGAACTTCGGGCTCCTTCCTCATCAAGCAGTCGAACTCAAAGTCCTCGTTCAGTAACAGAAGCACGCCTTCGCCCAGCTGCTGTCACTTCCCGTGGTTCTAGTGCCCGCAACAGTGCCAACCTTGGGGGCAGCTCTTTGCAGGAAGATCTCCTCAAGCTTATTGACCCAGATGCCATCAATATTGAAGATTTAAAATCTCCTGTAGGTGTTTTAGTTTATGATTGATTTTATGAATTCAGATTTCAAGAGCTACAAAACTGAAAAATGCATGTTTCTTATGCAGAGTTCTGACCCCCAGGATGACTTGAATTGCTTATCTGCCAAGGACCTTCAAGGTAAAGAGAGGAATGGTGTTGTTCCATCATTGCCATCATCATCATTGTCTCAAAGCAAAGTCTCAGGAGCAAATGGTGATGTGATAGTCACCATGGCTAGACCAGCTACTGTTCTTTCCAGTGGCAGCTCTAGCCCAAGTTACTCACAGAAAGCATCGCCTGAAGACTACAAGAGGTGAGGAAATTAGCAATATTGGCTCTATTTGAAGTTACCTGTTTTTTTAATTTATTATCTTCATTATAAGAAATAGATATGGATTATTAATTGCTTGTGATATAATTAACTGCTTTGCCCTCAGGCATTTTCACCTGGCTGAGTTTTGCATCCCAGAAAATAAATTTGTGAGATTCCCTGTATTAGGATATGCATTGACTCAACAATGAAGTACTAAGTGGAACCCAACATGGGTGAAAGAAAAACAGCTATGGATGAGAAAGAAGCTCTTTAATTCAATACCAACAAAATGACTTCTACTCCTGCTAGTGCCATTGGGAAGCATATGAATGAGTGATGGCATCTTATGCTGCATATTTCAAGTTCTCACCAAAGTAACAAGCTTCATTAACTGTTGGGGAAAACACCATTGGCAGGAAACCCACTTTTATTTTCCTTATTTTAACCCTTTCACAGTGGCGATCAAGTAAACCTGACAGTAGGAAGTGGTGGCACTGGCACACTAGTCTCAAATATTATATTGTGGATTCTTCTGAACTTACAAAACATAGTAGAATGAAATTTTAAATTGTTTTTACCCTTATTCTACACCATACAACCTTTTGTTGTGATGTGAAAGACTAAAAATAAAAATCCAGTGCTGGCATTGCTGCTGCTCACTACAAAACTCAGCAGCGAAAGCATTAATAAGTGCAGTTATGGGCACTGAAATAGCAAGATGATGCATAGAATATATTCAAGAAAAAGTATCATCTTAATTTTCCCTTTATTCTTTGCTCTTAGAAAAAGAAGTTTATGCTGTTGCTGCTGCAATTGTAGAAATTGATGTTAGAAAGTTGGATATCATCACCATTAGCTTCTATCACTGCCTTTTTTCAACATTCCCAGGCCATCCATGGCATGTGACAATGAAATTCAACCTAACAGGCTTTAAAGAAATTGGTAAGTAATGAAGGGTCCTGCCAACATGTCATCAGCAATAATTAAAAGGCTGCACCAGCAAACTCATGTACACAATTGACTCATTTGCCTGTCAGCCAACTAAGTCTGCTCAGTTTTGAACCATTGGTTGCCATTTTTGTATCTATAAATATAGCAATCCTACTTAGTGCAGAGGAGGCTTAGGAAATGGGAAAGATGAGGCATTGCACAGCAGACATAAATGACTCCCTTCTTGAAAAGATAGTCTAAAGAATCTGTAGCAACCTGTCCCTTTTTATGATGCAAGAAAAAGTCAATCTGTTGGAGGAAGAAGAGCTGCAGGGGAGGACTACCCAACCTAAGGTACTATGGTATAGGACATGAGTCTGCAACTAAGATGAGGGAAGGCCCCTTAACCCATTTGCTGCTATCATGGTCAGTTAACTGACCATGCTAAAGTGCCTGCTGTGTGTTAGCATGGTCAGTTGACTGACCATGGATATATCAATTTTCTATACCTCCATACACACAGCATTTGAGTGTGAAATGTTATCCTCAGCTCACAGGGAGCTGTGTAAGTAGTTATGTAATATATATCAAGAATTTTATTTGCTTTAGAACTTGCAGTAGGCTAAAGTAAAATTAAAGCAACATGCTTTCTCTTTTCCCATTACCTCTAAGCACAGGGCATGGTTTATACTGCTACCCTTGGCAGCAGTGAAAGGGTTAACTACGCATCCTGGAGATCTGATGTTCTGAAAGTAAAACTATTGTGTGAAAACTGACTGGTGTATGGAATTGTGTCCAGGCATTGTATGGGAGGCTTAAAAGCTAACATGTTGTTTGGGTTAGTAAGAGGAGGTAAAACAGGATGTTGCAGTAGGAGTTCTATCTTGACAGTACAAATATTTGTCTCATACTACAGCCACATGAATTCAGAAAATCCTCCAGGCCAAAGAATTGGACATTATTTGACCCCTTTGTGAATCATGAATTGGGATCATGGTTAAAGAGAGTCAGCTAGACACCACAAAATAAGCACTTACATCTACTCCCTCTATAATCTCCAAGAGAAAATACAAAATTTCACCATGTCACAGACCTAACTTGCTAACTTTATTAATGTGTTTATTGATTTTAAAGACTGGAGTGCCCTTGGTCCTTGTAACCATATTTCACTCTCCAATATATCCCAAAGCTTGCATGTGTGAGGTCCCTTTAGTAGGTCTGGTTTGAGGTATGAGGTTTGAATATTCCTCCATCTGGATCTGGAGGCATACTTGGGGGGAGGACTCAAGGTATACACTAATGTACTGATTCTTACCATAGCTGAAAATTCAGGGCCTTCATGTCTGCCTGCTCATATTTCTGCACACTCTTGCCATGATTTTGGCATTCCATGATGTTATCTTATTTAATCCTCATGTGTTGTCTTCAGAAGGTGGTCTCAAGAACTGGGGATCCCGATGATGAGATCAAAAGAGTTTGACTGGAATAGCCTGGTGGCTGTTGCCACAGAGGCCATGAATCAGAGCAGAGATGAAGGTCATGCTTCTCATAACCATTTGTGGGTTGATGGGTTTGCTGAAAAAATTGGACTCACCCTCCCCTCTGGTTCCTGGTTGGTCATCTGTATTTATGTAATCTATTATTGATCCTTTTTGTCACTATATCTTGGGTTCTGATAATATTTTGGTCCATGTAGCTCCCTTGGATGGATGGGGTCATGTCCAGAACTACAAGAAAAGATTTTGTCACTTGAGAAGGCACTAGAACAGGAGCAAGAGCAGAAGCAGGTGCTTGCCAGTGAATTGGAACAGTTGCGATCTGCAAATCGAAGGCTCCAAGAGGAAAGCCAGACAGCAGCTCAGCAGTTGAAGAGATTCACCCAATGGTTCTTTGCCACCATCAATAAACGGACCGAAAATGGAGAAATTGGGCCGTCGCCACCTTCTCCACCTTCTCCTTCCTCTTCCCTGCCTTCATCTGCCTTAAAAGCTACAGCGGCTGCAGCCCGTACTTGATGTGATAGATAAAAGTCAAAGATGAGGACTTTTTGGGATCTCTCACAGCTGTCTGCTTCAAAGCCAAAGATTCTATTCTTCTTCCTGTGCTGTTCTTCCAAAGTTTCATGCATGACTAGCGTTTTCAGGGACTTAGCATGTAAATCCCATTTTGTCTAATTTTTTTTTTGCATTCTGTTGGTTGATTGGTTGTTGTTCTGTGGAACATGTTACTCTGGTACCTGCATACCAATAACTTCGAATGAATGACTCTTAGATGCAAGAGAGGGAAAAAGACCTTGTTGACTATTTTATCATACCAGAGGGGCCTTATCAAGAGTCTGCGTACTCATTCCTATTGACATACATAGCTATGCAAAAGAGTTGCTCCCTCCATCCTTTTACACCCAACATTTAAAAGATTTTAAATAAAAATCTGATTTTTTTTCACATTTCAGTCTTTTATTTATTCATTTAGGGAAGCTCATGGTGAGACAGTAAATTAAAATCTGCAGAAGCGGAAATATTGCATGCGCAGAAACCATTGAAAAGAGCATCGCAATAAGACTCACGACCATTTATACCTTTTGCAACTTGCTTTTAGATGGTTTGCAATTCATTTTCGGCATTTGGCGAGTGAAGTATGTTGTTGGAAATATGCGTGAAAAGTGTTTGCAGTTTCGGCAAATCAGAATCGACTTTCATCCATGAGAACTGGATCTCATTCGGAGACATACTGTTTTGGCAATGAAATGTTATTTTCGGCGTTTCCTATGGAAGCAAAACTGTAAATGAAATACGGTGACTAGAATCTCGAGATCGTCCGCGGTTTTTGAAGTTCGTCAACGAGCAAGTTTTCTTCAAACTCCTGATGATGGAAGGCAATAATTATGTCGAAGCAATCGGGAATGAAAGTAGCAATCATTATGAAGAGCATTCAGTGCTCTAGTGTGGATCTTAGGTGCAAGTTTGAGACTTCCCCCGTGGATAATCATGTGGTATTCATTCGAGGGGAATGGGCTATTTGATTATTCAAGTAATGAAAACCTTTAAGACTGCTAGAAACGCTATAAATTCAGCCTACAACCGAGTTTACGGTGAAAAATGCTGTTAGTATGTCAATTGGGATCCGATGGCAAGAGATTCGTATTTCATTTTCGACATTCCGTAGTTGAAGAATGTCTGCAGAAGTATCGGTGAAAAGTGCCCTCATTTCCGGCAAAAAGATATCCGTTTTCGTCCATGAGGGATAGGTTGTATTAGGAGGCTCGCGGTTTCGGCAATGAAATGTCATTTTCGGCGTTCCGAAGGGAACATTCTTTCATTACTGTCCTACATGAAACTGAAAGTGGAATACGGCGAATGGAATCTCAAGATTCGAAGTGGAATCTGGAATGCATTGTCACGTGACCCTTTCCGGCTAAAATTCGCTATCGACGAGGAAAAATGAAATTGAAATGATAGCGAGTGAATGCTCACAGATTGCTCCTCGGTAGAGCGGACCGCAAATGCAAATTTGAGACATTTCTGGGGAAATTGTTATTGGACGTTCTTACGAGTGGAATGAGAATTCGGTCAGAAGGTCTGCAGGATAGGCAAAAGTTCCACCCGCATTTCAGTGAAAAGCGAAAAAACTTCTCCCTAATTTGGAAAGATGTCACTCCGACTTTAAACCCGTTATTACCCATTCCTAGTGCGAGAGCAACTCCTAACACATGTTTGCGAGTCGAAATATGTTAGCGATTTCACAGGTGCTTCACTTTTGCTGCTCGACTCGGCTGAAAAGTGGGCCCGAGTGCCGAATATCGTCATTTGTGCTGAAATTCCGATATAAGGTGATGGGAATATTCGCCCAAGAACAAAGCCTGCCGAGCATCATTCTCTGTGTGCCGAAAATTCATACCGAACGCCGATATCCAAATTCGCAGCGTTATTTCCCTTCCATTGAGAAACAAGGGGGAAAATGTGCCAAAATGAATTACAATCCTTATTAAGGGAGATTACAGGTTTAAAGCTCCTTGATATCCGAATACATCGCTGACAACGGTTGGCTTATTCATCACGCAGAGTGTAAGATTTCTGAAGATGTGCAGCGAGTTCCTGTCAATTCGCCGGTTTCTCATTATTGTGGTAGAGTCCGACTGAAAAGCTCCCATCGGTGATTTCCCCGATCGAATGTTGGTAAACTCGAATTTTTTTGTCGCCGCTCTTCAGTTTCTTCTCTTCCACAAACGAACTACGAGGAGGAATACCGAAATGCAGATGCAGGATGCCGAAAATGATGATTCCTTTCGGAAAGTTGGCCGAACATCATCTCCTGCGCGCCGAAAATTCGGCTAAAACGCGAATTTTTTAATGCATTGCGCCTATATTCACCTTTCCTTCTGAAAAACAAGGGGAATTGCGCCGAAAGTGAATTGCAAACCCTCTAAAAGCAAGCTGCAAAAGGTATATATCCCTGTTCTTAATGGAGTCGTTTTCGCGAAATTTGCACTGTAGTGTGAGTCAAAAGTCCTGCCCACGTTCTGAACGCTTATAACTCTCGAATGCTTGATCAGATTGAGATCCAGTTTTGACCGTTTGAAAGACAAAAAAGAATCCCCTTTCTAATGATACGTTTTAGTTTTCTCATTGGCATCCTTTCCTTTGACCCATGCATTAAATTCTGATTTCGAGTTATTTTAATCTTGACATTGGAATATCCTTGTGCGCTGTATCAATGTGATTTCAATTCAAGTGAGTTTGAAGGAAAAGACTCAGAAACGACTGACGTTGGCAGTTGACTTGCAGCCAAACGTACAGATTTTTTTTTTTTAACAAACTGGGTGATAACAAACGGCAACCACCCGACGATTCAGGAAGAAATTAAGCGGAGAAATTCTCAGCCGCAAGTCGATCATCCGTATCGATTCGAATGTTGAAGGGTTTGCGGAATCTTGTCTCCTAGACGGGAACCGATACACGTAATCGACTACGTCACGAATAATCCGTTTTCCGTCTGAGTCGGGGCCGGTAATCACCTCCTCGTCTTGAAGAACGGATCGGACTTCTTCGAGGATTTTGTGCAAAATCTAACGATTTTGTTGCAAACGGTGCGCAAGCTTCTGTGTAAGATCTTGACTGATGACTTCAGGTGATAGAGGCAGTGGCGTAGCATCGAACACACACACACACTTAAAAAATGATAATAAGGAAAGACACATGAAATGCCTGAGAACGGTGTCCTAGAGTTCCCGTGGGAACTCTGCAGCTCGGAAAGAAACGAAATCTCGTCGCAGGAGATTCTGCGGTGTTCTATTGAGCATCACAAATGACCCAAAGTGAAATTCCTCTTAAAAGCGTATTTAGGTATTCATATTTTGAAAATCTTGAAACTACACTTATTCTAACAGAAGGGAACATGGCAGGTCCAAAACCAACTCTAATCGTGTCTTTGAAGCCATGATGGCAGAACATCCCGGGGATTGCTATCCTAACCTTGGATGCCTTAGATATACCTCCCCTCTCTTTTTCCACTTGGCTTCCTCTTTTTCCACCAGCAGCTTCCCATCCTCTTTCCCGGACCCGAAAACCGCGAAGTCATTTTCCTCTACGAGTACGGGGAACAGACGCTAAGCTCCGCCCCTTTCCGTTCGCGGTCCCGTTCCCGTTCCCGTCTGGATCCTGCTTACTTTTATATTGATACGACAGGAACGGTAGCAGGCCTGCCACGCTCTGAACGTCCACGAACTGGTCGCTAAAAATTGGTAAAATTTGAATTGATGAACAGGAAGGTTTGTCGATGACTTTGAAAGTCGAGACTGGTGGCAGAAGAGACTGCAGTTCCTATCGGTCGAACGAATGTTGAGGATCTCGTGATGGTATCTTTGAAGATACCATCACGTCCTGGTTTGAAAGTTTTTGTTCTTATGTAAAAAAAAAATACACAGAATTGCCTTGACCTTCGAATGATTAAAGTCCCATTGCAATCCGATTACTTGGTTATAAGTTATTACCAATCAAAAGGCGAGCAGAACTTTTGACTCGCCCTGTACATGGACTACGAAGTTCCTAAACCCCTTTGAAACTGTTCCTTCAAATTCGTTCTACAAGGCATTTCATTTAAATTGTACATCTTTGAACGCTCATATCTATGAGAGGACGCAACCAATCTTGATGAAATTTGACGACAATATACCTGTACCTAAGCAAGAAAATGAACCTCCAGTCCTTTGGAGCGGCTAGACCCTTCCGTATTCCTCCAACGTTGGCGGTGAATAAATCTGAAGAACTTAGGAACTTACACTGTCCTGATTCGTACAGATTCATCAGCTATTATTGAATAATTTGAAAATAGGTTTTTTCGTATCTGTAACGAAAGCTCGTCAGTTAAAAAAGGTTGAGGTTGCCTGGATAATTTTTAACCACCGCTTGGAAGCGTTCCCTCCACTCAGCCACCAGCACGCGCTCCGGTCCTTTGTAAATTTCCAACATATTTATATTAAGAGAAATAGTCCTGCCCCGACACGATGAATTTAATTTAAAGTTCCCAAGTCTCTAGAGAGCATATCAGCCTATGCACAATGCAAATCTCTTGAAAATATTTGCAGTAAGGGCAAATATATGTTAAAATCGAGGGTATTTTCAGCAATACCCTGTATGACTTTGATGACATAGCACGTAATGTCTTTCACAAGGCAAAATTCTCATTCATCGACCAGCAAGTCACCTTATTCATAGGAAATCTTACATACACTGTTTTCGAATTGAGTTCATATTCTCTCCATAATGGAGAACGGAGAATTCAAAACTTCCAGAGGATCCGCTTCAAAAGAAGATGCACGAAACCACCCATGTATTAATAGATATCACTACCTGCAATAGATGAAAGCGCGCCTATGGGGGGGAGAGGGTACGAATTCAATCCGAAAACAATGTAGGAGGGGGGGATTTGCATAAACTGCAATATGATTTTGTAGAGTGGCGAATCACGTATCATCCACAGATTTCGTCCAGACGAATAAGCTTGTTTTGAATCAGGGTGGGTATTGAGGGGTTTCTTGCCAACGTGCCTCTCCCCTTCGGATTTCTGGAGTTCAGCGGACCCTGGGAGACAGCTCAACGATGAACGTTTCGTCTTGGTTGTCAGAGATGCCGCTGGCGTCCGGAGAAGAGGAAGATGCACGTTTTTGGAGAGGGAGGGCGGAGTCACTGTGGCTCCGTACGCGCAGTCTCTTTCCCACACTCGCATCGTGCACATCACATGCTCTTCCGCTACTCATCAACCGCTATCGAATCCCGCCAGTCGATCATGCGATCAAGATCTACCCAGCACTCACGCACCTGATTTATATTGTGTCAAGGTGTCCTTTAAAGTGCCCTTGCGTGGATGTCCCAGAAGAGCCTTTTCGTTGCAGCCGCAAATTCGTAATTGCCGTCCAACTTGCCTCATTCTTCGGGCATCATGATTGCC